GGCTAGGGAATTCTGGGAGTTGAAGTCCACTCATCTTAAAGTGGCCAAGTTTGGACAACAGTGCCCTAAATAATCCAAAGGTCTCTGCTCTTTCAAATGAGTCAATCCTTTCTCTTGTGCTTCTGCACAACACAGCCTAGCATGCTGGCTAGGGAATTCTGGGAGTTGAAGTCCACTCATCTTAAAGTGGCCAAGTTTGGACAACAGTGCCCTAAATAATCCAAAGGTCTCTGCTCTTTCAAATGAGTCAATCCTTTCTCTTGTGCTTCTGCACAACACAGCCTAGCATGCTGGCTAGGGAATTCTGGGAGTTGAAGTCCACATGTCTTAAAGTTGGTGAGGCTGAGAAACATTGTGTTAGATCTTTCACATAATCCCACAATGCACTGTAGTTAAGCTAACATGAATCTATTCCTATTCCTTTATCTATTGTTTCCTCTGTGTCAAATGAGAAATTCTTTGTAACATCTGTCCCCTTATACAGTACCGAAATCATCGTAAGATTTATTATAGATGTTGTGAGGACCCAGCTCTTTCCAGATGCTTTGGACTACAGCCTGCATCGTTGCCCAGTGGCATGGGACGATTTGAACTGATGGCTAGATGGATGATGTAGTCCAGTACATTCAGGGTGTTCCACATAATAGAAGGCTGATGTGAATATATACTGAAACAACAGAACACAGCAATTAAATGCAATTTAGTTAAATATAATACAAAATTAAAACAGCCAGAACCACAATTTATAAACTGAACTGCACTGAAACGGTAACATTCCTATGAATAACAATCTACAGTAATCATGTACTGATAATAATAACACCAAACATTCAGTTATGCAGAAATAGAAGAGGGATAATCTGGAAGTGTCTGGTTCAGAAAAGGGATAATCTGCTGTGCCTCATTCAAATACACACCCAGCGTGAGCATCCTCCTTTCCTATCTCTACACGCGCTGTTTATCACAGAGAATCAGGGAGCACGTGGCCTAACCGCGGAGCGCCTAGGCAGCCGCCAGGGTTGATAGTTGGCGGGTTGATTGGCGGGAGAGAGAGAGGGAGGGAGGGAGAGAGGGAGAGGATCCCTTATTTGTCACTAGGCAGCAATTTAGCCATTCCAAGGCAGGCGCGCTCCCGAGGTTGCCTGGAGACCGAGGCGCGCGGGAAAGAGAGGCGGTGGAGAGGGGGTTACGTAGTGACGTTAATTCTATATGAGCGCTAGCGGCGGGAGCTTGGGTCTTTTTACCGCCGGCTGCGCGACGCTTCTTCCTCAGTCCTGAGTCACTGCGAGATCCGGCCTCGCGCAGGTAACCGAGACGCGTGGCTCCCAGGGTGGGACCGTGAAGATCACAGACCAGCGATCTCGGCCCACCAGTTGCAGGGAACCTCGCGTTCAAAAGGCATCGAGGAGGGGGAGAAAGCGGGTTGAGGCGGTGCCCTCCTTGGCCGTTGGTCTTGTGGGAATTGTGCCTCACTTCGGAGCGGTGGTTGCTCGAGTGGGAGACTGCGCGCGCGCGCGAGCGAGGGTGCAAAAGCCATTTTTCTCCCTCCGCCCTCATCACTTTCGCCTTGGGGCGAGGCACTTTGCTGGGCGGCTCGATCTGGCTTGGCTTGGCTTGGCCGGGCCTAGTCTGGCCGGCTGAAGCACAGGCAAGCACGTGGGGAACAGGCAGGTCTGGGCCGCCTCCGGCGCCTTTCGCCCCAGAGTCGCTGACCTGTAAGTGGCGCTGCGTGGATTAAAGCCTCCTACCGGGGCTGAAACGTAAATAGGCTTTGCCGCGATGGGGGTTGGGAAAGGGGGATCGAAAGAGGCAGTCAATTTTGGTAGCGGGCCCCGGGAGAGTCTGGGTGTGGGCAATTTGGGGAGGGTTCGCGTTGCGGCGGGAAGGTTTTAGTCTATCAGTCGTGTGTTTCCCTGAGAGGGAATAATCGGTTTGGCGAGAACTTTACGCTATTTTATAATCCCGCCCCCCCCCGCTAAAGGTAGTTCGCCTAATAATCTCCACTTCCCCTCCTTTTGCACAGCCTGAGAGGGAATAATCGGTTTGGCGAGAACTTTACGCTATTTTATAATCCCGCCCCCCCCCGCTAAAGGTAGTTCGCCTAATAATCTCCCCTTCCCCTCCTTTTGCACAGCCTGAGAGGGAATAATCGGTTTGGCGAGAACTTTACGCTATTTTATAATCCCGCCCCCCCCCGCTAAAGGTAGTTCGCCTAATAATCTCCACTTCCCCTCCTTTTGCACAGCGAGAATGCATTTGGAGATCAAAAGGCTAAATAGTGAATGGCTGTGGATATTAAGAGGGAGGAGAAAAAAAAGTGTGTTGCTCATTTTTAGGGGCCAGTAGGTGTAACAATTTTCTGACTCAGTGGATTGATTTAATACGTATTCTAAATGTACTTCGTTACTTTTGAGGTAGTGCCAGGACTGTGTTTTAGACAGCAGCAGGTTAACTGTTGGGGTGGCTTGCATTTTAGTGAACATGCTTCATGATATTGGCCACATGGTTTATTAGGGCAGGGCAGTGTAAAGCAAGATTAAAGTGAAATACTGTTTCCTGCTTCATTGTTTTTCGGTGGGTAGCCAGATCTTTACACTTGGGTTGTATTTAATTAGAGGTGGGACACACGGTAGATGTATTACCACTATTTTCTTTTTGATGTGGCAGCCAAAGATGTATAAGATAATGAGATATACCATTTCAGTACAAGATTAAAAGATAAGTCTGTTTTATAAAATGGATAATGGTGAGTTTTGAATATGAATTAGGAGAAGGCCTAAGGTAGTAGAATATGATTGTAATAGGAAAGGTAGCTGCAGAATGCATATACACAAGACTTGGATGTTTGTTTTAATGTACTATTTAATATCTAGAAAGGGTATAGATGGCAGTGATTTTCTCCATTCTCTGATGTGGTAAGCAAATTTGGCTTTAAAATTGGCTTGAAATTTTTCGTGGGTTTCCAGTTCAAACATATTTTTTGTTGGCCAATGTAAAGGTTAGAAACATTTTCACAAAAAGATTTTAAATGTCAAAAATAGGATTCTTGGCTGCGTATTACATATGTGGGTGTTGTTTATTAATATTAATGTTAAATTTTGAGACATAAACCTAATGGTTACAAAATCTATAGCAGTATTTCTTATAAATGGTTGGATGCTCCTGGCAAGTTCCTTCTTCTGGCTACTCTTCTGTAAAATTGAAGTGATATTAATGTATCTGAAGATGCATGTGCAAAATTATAAAACACTTTGGGCCTAGCAGTAATGTATACAAGTGATATTAAGGGAATTTTGGCTCAAGAGTATGTTGTACTGCCATGTGAATATAAGCATTATTTAATCTACCTTTCTTTATTGAACTGGAACTTTCCAGATATATTGAATTGCATTTTGCATCTTTCCAGGAAAGATGGTCTGTTGCTGTTTTGAACCAGGAAAAGTCCCCCCCCCCTTACAATCCCCCCCTTACAAGTAGTCCCCCCCTTGGAGAATCTTAACTGAGGCTTATTTCAATTGTATTTAGTAACTTAGGTAGTCCTTGTTGAACAACCACTCATTTAGCAACTGTTCGAAGTTATGACAATGCTGAACAAGGATGACTTACAATGGGTCATTGTAATTGCGGCTTTTGTAGTGTCCCCACAGTCACGTGATTGTGATTCGGGCGCTTGGCAGCCGGTTCATAATTATGACATTGCAATGTCCCCATGTGATTGCCATTTGCAACCTTCACTGCTGGCTTCCGACAAAGTCAATGGGGAATGGGGAAGCCGGCAGGAGTACTGCAAATAGCTATCATGTGACTGTGGGACACTGATTGTGTGGGATTCACCTAACAACTGTTGTACGTCAGTGCTGTCATGTGATGTTGCACTTTATGACTGTGTCACTGAGCGACAGAAATGCTGGTCCCAGTTATTAAGTGAGGACTACCTGTATAAACTTGATATTAGTTATGGCTTGCAGTTCAGATAATAAGGAAATAAATTGCAAGGTTGATCACTTGAGATTTCCTGAAGTTCAGACTTAATGCTTTAGGATATGCATAGGCCAGGCCTGTACAACATATGGCCTATGGGCTGCATGTGACCCACCAAACAGCCTTATGTAGTCCACTGGCATTTTTTAAAAATTCAATAAATTAGCTGCTGCCAAACATCGCAGCCACCAGGAAGGATCCATCATTGCTGCTACTGCCCTTTAAGACACATTGCCAAGTGGCACCAATGCTTCCAACCCTTTTGTTGTCATTGCTTTGCTAGCCACTGAACAGCTATTCCTTTGCAACCCATGATTATTTTTAATTTATCAGTGTGGCCCTTTCACCTCCACAAGTTGGGTAGGCCTGGTGTAGGCTTTTAAAACATCACTGCAAATCAGTTTATATTTAATATTTAAGTACAAGTATTAATCATGACCAAAATTTGTATCAGTATCTACTAAAAATAGAGCTGAGAAACTTTTTTGTGTGTGTGTTTGGTTGTGTACTGCTCTGGCTTTCCATGTTTTCAGTATTACCTGTGAGGTAGCACTTAACATGAAGGTTATTTAATAGTGTTTGTATAATTGATCTGTATTGCCCTGGTGGTCAGCAAAACATAACTGGAATACCCAGGTGGAATGTACACATTATTCTTTCTTGGGGACAGTGGTTGCTCTTTAGAAACAGGCAGTTATGTTTGAAACACTGGTGGACAAATTAGATCCTAACCCTTTGCATTCTTCTCTTCTGAAGCATTAAATAGAGCAACCAAGACGTCTGGAATGTCTATAGTTCATAGACCTCCTTTCCCAATATTGTTGTGACACAAAAGACATTGAAGTGGATGTTGATACATTGAGCAGATAGATCCTTCAACACGTGGATGCTATTCCAGTGGTGAATGTAAGAGCTTTGTTGAATAACACTAGTCCCATCTTAAAGTCTGTATTCTGTTCCTGCATTGGACAACCAGATGTCTATGGCAAACTGAGAAAGAAACGAGTGCAATACCACCTTTATACTTCTTTCCTCTAATAACTGATATCAAGGAATAGATAGCCAAACCTTTTCCAACTCTAAAGCACCTCATTTTAAAGTGCACTGGCCATTATTGCACACGGTATTATTCCAAGCATTGTAGTACCATAGATGTATGTCAGTGTAATGATACTGACAGTTCTATTTTTGATTGCTTGCTTAAGAATGCCTAATATGGATTTTCTCCTCAATGGCTGAAAACTAGATTGATGTATCATTTTTCTGTTTGCCGTAATTCTGGGATCCTTTTCTCAGTCATTTTTGTTCAGATTTCTTAGCATATATGTGATTGGGGGTGGGGAGGGCGGTTCTTTTTTTGTTTTATGACTTGGCAAAACTCTTCATGGAATTTGCAGAATTGAGTCCTTACATGAAAGTTAAATTTCATGGAAATATTTATCTCACAGATAAACTAGATGAAAGGAGAATCTTGTTTCACTGAAGTTCTGGTTCCTATAATATTGTATAACATGCTCAACATTTGTTGAAAAATAAAACTATCAAATTCTGAACCCTGACTATAGTCAGAGCTGCTATAGTCTCCTTGTTCTTATGCAGCCCCCCTCTGTTTAAGCTCTTAAGATTCTTGTTAGCAGTGTTTCCAAACCTAGGCAACTTTTGAGATATGTGGGTTTCAACTCCCAGAATTCTTAGCAATGACCATGCTAGCTAGGGAATTCTGGGAGTTGAAGTCCCCATCTTAAAGTTGCGCAGGTTGGGCAGATATTTTCTGTTTACAGAGTAGCATAATTTTAACATTTTGAGGAAAACGTTTAGAAATTGAATTACTAGAATCTGTTGGGAATAATACGGTTTTTGTGGAATATTTTCCTAGAAAAAGGAATATTTGATACCTTTTTCTTCAGAGTATGTTCTCTTGAATATTTAGGAAAAAATGTTAGGGTGCAGGAATTAGCTAAATATTACTATTAATGATCTATCTGTTTATTCTTTTCCCAAAGAGAATAACTACATCTACATTGATATGTCTGCTAGGGGTAGGATCCTAGAATGTGGGTTTGGCTATGCGGGTTTAGGAGGATTTCATACATGAAAGTTATTCTTCAAGATTTTCTGTGGCATGAAACCAGGTGTTATTTCCTTTGTGTTGTTTCTTTTTCTTTTTTTACTTGATCAATAATATCCAACCCAGGAGCGAAGAGTAACTCAAAAGAGATTTTAATGTTATAGCTATGAGTATAAATCTTAAGCCAAGAGACAGATATCTTCCTAGTTTTTTAAATGGGTCAGACCAATTATATAATAAAAATACCCTGAAGCTA